AGAGCTGAAGTTCGCCAGTTACAAACAAAAGTTCGACAATTACAAAACAATAACTCAAGCTCTAGAGCTGAAGCTTACAAACAAAAACTTCAGCTGTAGAGCTGAAGTTCGATAGTTACAAAACAAAAACTTCAGCTCTAGAGCTGAAGCTTACAAACAAAAACTTCAGCTCTAGAGCTGAAGTTCGACAGTTACAAAATAAAAACTTCAACTCTAGAGCTGAACTTCAGGCCCGGCTACTAGAATGCTGAAGTTTTGCGTGATTGCCTTTGTTACTTCATCCCCGTATGCTGAAGTTATGCGAAAAAACGGGTACGCTTGCAATTTTTTTTGCAAAGCGGGCACAAGTTAAAACGTGACACAAAAAGCGGGTATAGATGCAAATGCCCCTTTATTAATAGAGCCGTCAATATGGGTTGGCCCAGTCCAACTCGTGATTTAGCAGGATTGGACTAAAAATTTTGGAGCCCGTTTAAAATGAGGCTTTTAAGCCAAACCGAATAAGCCCGTGGTCTGTGAGGCTTGATTGGTTGGATCGGCCTGTGGGCCTAATTAAAATATGTATTTAAAGATTATAAATATAAAAAGTATATAACACTAAAAATAACAAGAAAAGTATCTCAAGCTTAAAGTTTATTGAGCTCGTCATATTAAAAGATCAACGTCTTAAAACGTTAATTAGTTTTTAAATTATTGCATATGAATTGTAGATGTAGATGAAAGTGAAGATATTAAGACAACCTTCTCACAAGCGGATTCAAATGTGTTTGATGAAGATGCAATAACAACAACAACAATAACATACCCAGTATTATCTTGCACCGTGGAATTTGGGGAGGGTAGTGTGTACGCAGACCTTACCCCTACCTTGTGAGGATAGAGAGGTTGTTTCCAATAGAATCTCGGATCAGAAATATATGAGCACCACATTAATGAAAATATAGGCAAGAAGTTTGTTAGATGTTTGTCCAGATTTTCTTACCATGATTGGTTTTCCTATCCCATGAAGGAAAGGACAACATATTTACCATAATTGGATCTTTCTTTTACTAGAGGGAAAATATAATTCTTCCATATTTGGCTAGTCCCTTTTCTTGTAGGAAAAGGTTTGGAGTTCTATAAATTGAAGATTTGTCATTCTCATTCAGTAGCATCCACAATGTAGCCATAGAGGGCTGAAGAGTCTTGTTTAGGAGGGAACTTTACGGGACAAGTGTTAGTGTGTCACTTGTATTTGCCTCTTCGTGAGGTTGCTCTCTCGATATTTTGTACTCTTTTTTATTATAATGGATTGCTCATCTCCGCCGTGGACATAGGTCAATTGATCGAACCACGTTAAATATTTATGTCTATTTTGGTATATTTCTCTTTTGCTATCTGATTTATCGTCGTTCAAGGTTTGATTTGCTAGCTTCCGTATGACACTTGATTTTTTCCGGTCCCACAAGTGGTATCAGAGCGAGGTTCAAGACAAGTTCATCTTGAGGGTTCAGTTCTAATCGCAACCTATTTGAAGGTAATCGTGATGTTTATCTAAGAAATTTGACCGGTGTGCTACGCACGTTAAGACAAACTTTGCAGTGGAGATTTGGAGATTGGTGTGAAGAAAGTGAATCAAGTTTATTTAGCCTTCTGACAAAATAAACTTGAAGGCTATGTGAAGAAAGTGAATCAAGTTTATTTTGTCAGAAAATTCAGGCAAAGGGGAAGAATTGTTAGGTGTTTGTCTAGATTTTCTTACCATAATTGGTTTTCCTATCTCATGAAGGAAAGGATAACATATTTACCATAATTAGATTTTTCTTTTACTAGAGGGAAAATATAATTTTTTCATATTTGGCTAGTCCCTTTTCTTGTAGGAAAAGGTTTGGAGTTCTATAAATTGAAGATTTGTCCTTCTCATTCAGTAGCATCCACAATGTAGTCATAGAGGGCTGGAGAGTCTTGTTTAGGAGAGAACTTTACGGGACAAGCGTTAGTGTGTCACTTGCATTTGCCTCTTCGTGAGGTTTCTCTCTCGATATTTTGTACTCTTTTTTTATTATAATGGATTGCTCATCTCCGCCGTGGACATAGGTCAATTGATCGAACCACGTTAAATGTTTGTGTCTCTTTTGGTATATTTCTCTTTTGCTATCTGATTTATCGTCGTTCAAGGTTTGCTTTGCTAGCTTCCGTATGACACTTGATTTTTTCCGGTCCCACAAGTGGTATCATAGCGAGGTTCAAGACAAGTTCATCTTGGCGGGTTCAGTTCTAATCGCAACCTATTTGACGGTAATCGTGATGTTTGTCTAAGAAATTTGGCCGGTGTGCTACGCACGTTGAGACAAACTTTGCAGTGGAGATTTGGAGATAGGTGTGAAGAAAGTGAATCAAGTTTATTTAGCCTTCTGACAAAATAAACTTGAAGGCTATGTGAAGAAAGTGAATCAAGTTTACTTTGTCAGAAAATTCAGGCCAAGGGAGAGAATTGTTAGGTGTTTGTCTAGATTTTCGTACCATAATTGGTTTTCCTATCTCATGAAGGAAAGGATAACAGATTTACCATAATTGAGTTTTTCTTTTCCTAGAGAAAAAAATAGAATTCTTCCATATTTGGCTAGTCCATTTTTTTATAGGAAAAGGTTTGGAGTTCTATAAATTGAAGATTTGTCCTTCTCATTTAGTAACATCCATAATGTAGCCATAGGGGGTTGAGAGTCTTGTTAAGGGGAAGAACTTTACGGGACAAGTGTTATTGTGTCACTTGTGTTTGTCTCTTTGTGAGCTTATTCTCTTGATATTATGTACTCTCTTTTATTATAGTGGATTGCTCATCTCTGTCGTGGACGTAGGTCAATTGATTGAACCACGTTAAATATTTGTGTCTCTTTTGGTATATTTCTCTTTTGTTGTCTGATTTATCGTTGTTCAAGGTTTGCTTTGCTAGCTTCCACATGACACCTGATTTTTTCGGTCCCACAAAGAGACAGTACCAAAAAGCCATATAAAGCAGAATAAAACAATAAGATAGTAAGGTGATCAACAATGAAAAAAAACAACAGTAGGCATAAAAACCTACTACCAACAGAAAGTGAAACTGCATGCCAATACTATTGTTATAAACACTCTAGACTACCTACTCTACTACTCTAATCCTCGACCTCAATACCTTTCTATCAAGGGTCATGCCCTCGGTCAGCTAAAGTTGTGCCATGTCTTGTCAATCACCTCTCCCCATCTCTTCTTGGCCTACCTCTACCTCTCTGTAGGCCCTCCAATATCAACCTCTCACACCTCTTCACCGGGGCGTCTTTGCTCCTCCCCCTCACATGACCAAAACACCTAAATCGCGCTTTCCACATCTTGTCCTTAATAGGGGCCACACTCACCTTGTCGCGGATAACCTCATTTCTGATACTATCTAACCTGGTGTGCCAACAAATCCATCTCAACATCCTCATCTCTACTACCTTCATTCTCTAGACATGAGCGATCTTGACTGGACAACACTCAGCCTTATACAACATCATTGGTCTGACCACCACTCTCTAAAACTTACCCTTAAGTTTCGGTGGCATCTTCTTATCACATAAAACACCGGAAGTGAGTCTCCATTTCATCAATCGCGCCCCAATACGATGTGTGACATCTTCATCAATCTCCCCATCCCCCTGAATAATAGACCCGAGGTAGTTAAAACTCCCTCTCCTAGGGATGACCTGCGAGTCCAGCCTCACCTACCCTTCCCCTCCTTGAGTCTTGCCACTAAACTTACACTCTAGGTATTCTGTCTTGGTCCTGCTCAACTTGAAACCTTTAGATTCAAGGGTCTGCCTCCATACCTCTAATTGCGTGTTCACATCGTCTCGCGTCTCGTCAATCAATACAATATCATCTACAAATAGCATGCACCACGGCACCTCCCCTTGGCGTTCCAATATTAATGAAATATAGTTGTCTTTTATTTTTTTAGTGTTTATTGTGATATATTAGAACAGTATAAAAAGTTATTAAGTTTTGTAAAAAATTTCTAATAAGATTTTTTAAATTTTAAATATTTATCTTTTTTTTTTAGGTTAGAACTTAAAGAAAAAAATATAAAATTTTATTTTAAAAAATAATGAGCAGGCCCGTGGGGGCCGCCGCCCACACAGAACTGTGGTGGGCTGACCATTATAAGGCCCATTAAAATAATGGGCTAGCCCAGCCTAGTCCGTCAATTACTCAAACCCACGTAGGTTGGGCTGGGCCCGGCCCCACCCATATTGATAACTCTATTTATTAACTTAATTTCAATTTAATGAAATTATGAATTTGGATTTGACGGGTAAAAACACATGAAGCACAAATATAAATCAAACTGCAAACTTTCTTGTAGAAAAGAATGCTAAGCCGCTAAAGCTGCCTCTGTGTGTTCATAAGTTTTAGAAACTACTTGCATGAAAAAGAGCTTGCCAATAATCTCGAATCATTCTGATATTTTTCGAAATTCAAAATATGGTAGCATACAAATGTTCAACATGCATTGCTATATGTACACTTTGGTCATGTACGCCTGAAGTTGTTCCGAAGTGATTAAACTTATATATTCTTATACATTGTCGGCTTAAATGATGATCCCAAAATTGGCTCTCTCTGCACTTGCCCCCATGATTTATGGGATCTTTATGCAAATAGTCGACTGGATTCACTATTTACTTGCTTTCGCCGATATACATAAATTATACACATATTTTACATAGATTATGCATATATTATATATCTGCTGGCTATTTTTAGTTTAAGTGGTTGGATAGACGACTGATTAAGTTAATTCTTTAGGATTTTTACCCGTTCAAAGGGGAACATTGAACTTTACTGGGCCTTGACCTTCACTAGATAAGGGAGGCCTATTTGGGCTGCTGAGTTGCGAATGCAGCCCAGTGTCAGTATCTTGTTTTTACAATTTCAAAATTGAATTGAGGGTAAATTCTTGGTTTCATTAATCATTTCATTTGACACAATTTTGGGCATATATGTGATAACACTATTGGTACTCTTGCAGTAAAGCACATGCTTTTACAGAGTCATTCTGATATTTTTTTTGTACGATAAGTGCAGGTTGAAAAGGGTCCATCTATTAATTGACACTAAATTTTGCTGAGGTAAATAGCAAGGGAGAGTATCTCAGTAAATCTGTCAACATTCAAAGTCTGCAAACATTGATTGTCCTTGCTGCAGTCAATTATGTCTCAAGTAAGACAACCGAAACTTCACAACTGATTTTAACTGTTCCTTCAATCCCTTCACACAGTAACAGTTGAGAGTTGCCATGATCTCGTTAATTGTGGAAATTGTTAGTTGTTCTGCATCTTTTATAACGGTGATATCCAGGTAGCTTGATCGTACCTCGACTAATTGTTTGTTATTCTAGATCTTCGTACTAATTTTCTTGATTTTGCTTTACGTTAACGACACTGAGGAACAACTTGAGGCCGCACAATGATATTCTCCTTCTCTAGTCGATTGGTTTCTAAATAGAAACAGATCTAAGATTTATAATCATTAGATTATATTACTACTATATATATATATATGATTTGAGCCAAAACCTATGGGTGCAGAACCCATGATGCTGAAGGCTAGATCCGTCTGTCTATTTGTACATAATTCGTATAGTTTAACTGAAGTATGAATCTGTTTGTCAATTTAACATAAATCATTGTCAATTGCCTATACCTCAAATCAGAATGTTTTGTAATATTTTTTAAGAATGTTACTATAAGTAAAAGCGTTAAATTTAAGTTGTATCTATTTTTAGAGAACCATTAATTTATTTTAGAAGATAAATTATTTGGTATACGAGGAAATGAGCTCGATAAGAGTATAGTTGGTCCTGATTAGTTTGGGATTGAAATGTGTTTTGATTATTTTGATTGATATATAATCCCAAAGTGTTAATTGTTTGCGGATAGCGAGGTTAAGGGAAATGAACCATTAGAAAATTCAAAATTTTACCTCTACTATGAACTAGAAAATGAACAAAGAAATACAAACCACGGCGAGATATTTCTTGCTTAATTGATAACTAGCATTAACCTACACCTTGATTTTCCGGTCTAAATAAAAGAAAGTAGGAGACACAAGAGCTGGCTTGGTGTCTGTCATCCTTATTCAGTACTTGATTGCTATTGCTGGATTTCTCATCTTAACCACCTTCTCAAATCAGTGGTTGAACAAGGAGAAATTTCTCCACCAAGGCTGTCGGTGTAACACGAATAGTTTGATTGTTGTTCCATCCCCATATAGGCAGCTTGAAGACTTTTGAAACTAGGACTTCTCAAGTTCTGACTATAGCCATAGGTAGCATTAAGAGAATACGGCTCAGGAATTGGGTAAGAGAGACGTTTTTTAACCGACCCAACCCTTTCTCTTTCTGGCGTAGATGGCCTTTGTTTTGGCGTGCTTTGTGAACGAATCCGAGCTTTTGCAGACTCAGTAGCAGCCATATAATTAGGAACTGCAGCAGCTGCATCATTTCCTGAAGTGCTATATCGGGACATTATACTATTTGAACGGGTAGTGGAGCGTAGGCATGGAGTGTTTGCAGTTGATTGGCTTTTACGTGGGCTTGTTGGGCGCATTTGGAGAGGTTTTGGTTGACAAGGGGGTGGGGTAGCTGGTGGTTGAATTGTGGAGTAATTGTAATGTGATGGTCTCTGGTGATGGGGAGAATTAGCAGCACAATGAGGACTACTAGCTTGTCTGTGAAGCGGACTCGAGTGGTGTGATCTTCGAGCATTTGGAACCATGTTAGAATAGGACTTAGCCGTGTCCATCTCAACAGTCTTTATAGAGTCTCTTCTGTCAAATGAACCTCTGCTGCTGGCAGTGTTCCATTGTTTGGACGACATCCAATCATCCAGCCAATTTGCTGTTTCTTCTAGTTCCCTCTCATTTCTTTCTTCACTGCCAAGATCCATCTCATCCCATACCTATACGTAAAATACTTTAAGTAATTGAGTGCTTACTTCTTGAAAGAATAGAATGTGAATTCATGTTTAACACAAGAACTAACAGAAAGTTCAACCTGTTGAGTAAAAGCATGAGCAAGGGATTTTTCCCTATTAAAGGCAGCTTCTTTTCTGGCTTGTAACATTGATTCCAGCTCTAGAAGCGATCTCGGGCAATCTCTCCAATCATCAGCAATGGAGCTTCCATCTCTAGACTGTAGTTAGTACAAAAAATTTACTGTCAGAGATTAGTTAGGAGGTTCTGAGTGTTATGTTTATTTTTATTTTTTTATTAAGAGACTCGACTAATCCCGGGGGTACACAGGCCCTCGGCAAGGAGTTTCCCGCAAGTGCAACACGGTTCTGAGTGTTATGTTTATTACACTACCTAAGGTGGAAAGTAGAGCTTACTCTGGACTTCCTGTCTCGGATGTCATGAAGATATTTAGAGTCCCATAAGTTAGTGGTTTCAGCAAACATAGACCTGCGGCCTCCATCATGTGAAAGGCGAGTACGTTGTTCGCGAACTCGAGCCTGCACCCTAAGCAGAGCTTGCATACATTTCAGTGTCATCTTTGCTTGCTTCCTGACGTTTTGACCCCTTATTAATGCTTGTAGCTTCACTATCCCCTTCAATGCAATTAGTGCCCTCCTAGCCTGCACCAAGAAATTAAGTAATCGACTGCTTCACATGACAGCTAAATAATTAACCAGTACATCTATAAATATTCAACATTCCAATGCATGACTTGTGATCAATTCAATATGGTCCTCAATCTAACGCTAGCTACTGTCACCCCTGAATTAAGCACTTATGGTAACTACTAGCTCCTGACTGCTTTCTCCTTTCAAAATGCTAGACTGGTATTTTTACTAATTCTCTCCGGTTTTAAATTTTAAAATCACTAAATTTTATAGGATCACATTGACTTTTCCGTAAACACCTATCTCTGAATTTTATTTTCTTCAGCACAGGTCAAAATCTGGATGGAGAGCTTTGGAGCAACAGTAAAGTTGTCGTTCAAGCGGTAGAACCAGCTATTAATGCTTGCATTAGGTAAACTGTCTATATCACATCCCTTGAGGTGCGGCCCTTCCCTGGACCATGTGTGAACTCGGAATGCCTTGTGCACGGCTGCCCTTTAGCACAAGTCAAAATCTGATGATGGAGTCAACAATATATATCTTCACATGTTTCTGAACAAATGGTAAACCGTTCATATTTTTACATAACTTGTATCATAACAATCGTGCCAGTACATATAAATGGTGACAGAAGGGAGTTAATACAACAAAAAAATATCATTTTCTTGGTTGAAGAAAACTTGTAGCATAACCTTGAAATAGCTCACTTACCAGATATCCTCTGAATGCAGTTTGGATGAGTATAGCAGCATTGTGTTGCCTGTTTGAGGAAGGTGGATTATTTGAGGATCGTGTCAACCGTATGATTTCAACTGCTGCTTGAGCTGTGGCCACGGCAGCTTCAGCTGCTGCTGTTGCTGCGGCCACTGCAATTGCATGCTTTGGATCAGTAATTACCTTCCCTTCAGTTTGTTGACCATTTTGTGGCTGTTTTCTGAACAACCACCTTCTCTTCTCTCTTTTCTGTACATGGTACACCAATTAAGAGTCCATATAGTGTATATACAAGTAATGCACTAGGATTAATTTTGTTGAAATAGTAAGCAAAATTACCTTTTCTTCATCTTCTTCTAACTCATGTTCTCTTTTAGCCTTTTTGTCACAGCTGTTATCTTTAGTTGGTGACCTGAAAGCCCTTTTAACGGCACTCAACCATGAACTACCCCCCTTCTTCTTTGCCATGGAAAGGCAAATTAAGTAACAGAAACACCAGGGGCTTGCTTAAAGCAACATGGACTAGGCAAGTAAAGAATAAGAAGAAGAGAAATGGTGGTGTTGTTAATTAAAATGGCAAGCCTTTAACTCCTGAAACAATAAATAGAAGGAGACAGAGAGAGAGAAAAATGAAATGATATAAGAAAAACAAGAAATGACTGATGTCTGAACTCTGGAGATATAGTATATAATTGCAAGAGTGCTTATCCGTGCAGCATCTAACAGGGTAGCAGCTCTAATATCAATATGCGAGTGTTGTAAGTATAGGTCTTTTGTATTGGCATGGGAAAAAAAATAGTACTACTCCACAAACTATACGGTGGGGTGGGTGTAAAGTCAAAGTCAGGATTTAAAGTTTATGGGTTCAGGATTCTTGACCGTTTAAGTTAGTAGGTTCTATATTAATAATTTATACATACTCAATAGATTTCTTAAGATAAATATAGGGTTTAAACAAAAAATACTTACTCGCCAAATCCGTAGCTCGTGCTCTAGCTCCGCCCCGGTGAGTGTCATGAGTGTCAGCATGCCCAGTCTAGAGAGCTTTTCACCAATCAAGTAACGAGACTACATTAAAATGAGTGTAAGTAGTCTTAAATAAGTTTTTTCTCTAATTACATTGCTGCAACATAAGAATCCAAAGTCTCTTAGTATACTAGTATTAAATGAGTCAGGGGCTCTGTAATAGAATGTGCCTTTATTTTTATTTTATTTTTCCTTCTGAAATTTATTACTGAACACCCCTCATGGCTTCACGTGTTATCTGCATCTGAGAGTAAATTTTTTAATCTACAATCATTGAAGCACAGTGTACAATTTATAGAGCTTATTGCTTATGTTATTCTGGTTGATTAAACATAGGCATAATACATAGTTAGTCCTCTGATCCTTTGATATACCTGTCAAGCACGAATATCTCTTACCCACCATACTTCTTTTTAGTGTGTCTAAGTACAGTTTGGTATGTGAGAGGTTTTACACAGTTTAGCCTCCTGCTCAACAATAACAACTAGGGGTGAAGCTAGGAATTTTTTCAAGAGTATTCAAATTTGAAAGAATTGAAAATAAATTCTCGATAAAGAGTATTCAATATGTGTCATATACCTCTAAAACGTAATATTTTACCTATTTTGACAAAGGATGGTCAACTGACCATTGACCACCCTTGTGACTATGAGTCTTCGCCGCACAACAACAACAATCAACCCAATAAAATCTCACAGATGCGGGATATGAGAGGGGAGTGTGTATGCAGATTTTATTCTTACACGCCTCCAGCTCAAGGGCAAAATATGTAATTTGCCTTAAAACATATGATATTGTGTTTTTTTCCTTCGGTTATTAATTCTGTGTGTTTTGTAGTGGGTGGGTATATTGTCTCGTTAAAGAAAGGAGAAGTACAAATTGACAAAGGCGCCTGCATGTGGTTATGGTAAGTGTGTAAGAGAGTCCATTTTTCCCTCGAAGACTGCCAATCTAACCTAATGCCAAAGGAAAAGGAATCCATTTTTTGGGTAAAAGGGATTTATGATAGTGCCTTCTTTAACCAGTTGACCGGTCAAACTTTGTTCTATTCTCTGACCTGCTTCTCCCCTTATTTGATTCCATTGCCATCTATTAATGCTTTAAAAATTACAAAAGAAGAAACTTTACTCCCATTTTTAGTGATAAAACAATATGCTCTCGTCATGTTCTTTCCTTATTTCATCCCACTAACAACTAAATAATAATAGGTTAAGACCTGAATAACACTCCCTCTTGTTTCATTTTATGGAAAGATATTTGACTGCACATGTTCTAAGTAAGGGAAAACAACTTTCAAAACTTGTGATTTGAACATATGAAGAGATTTTTTTTTATATAAAATCTTGATATTAAGAATAAAATGTAAAATATGACACTAAATTATTTCCGAACATTAGGAAAAAATGTGAATAAAAAATGAAGCCAAGAAAATAACAAACTAGTGGCAACACTTGACCTAGCTAATGGCACTACTAGTAGTAGCGAGAATGAGAAACTACTGCTCGTACTATGTGATCTAGTGGCAAAGCTAGTAGTAGCGAGACCTGGAAAGCAGATAAATAACTTATTATATACTTTCTGCGTATATCCAACACTCACGGGAACGATATATATTATTTCTCTAGCAAAGATACTTTGGGGTCTGGAAAGGAAAATATATTATTTTTCTTGTTCTGTATATTTCTTTAATATTTTTAATGTGTTTTTCTTCTATCTGTCCTCTTGAGGGATGTGAAATGGCACGTGAAGATAGGATAGATAGATGTTGTCCGATAAACGTCCCAGTTCAGTTAACTATTTGGGGATATCAGAAGAATGGAGAAGCTTTTTCTTGGGACTATAATCAAACCTCTACAACTAGAAGCCCTTGGCATAACTATTGTTATCCGAAAAGTATTTATTTATGCAGAGAGAGAGAGAGAGAGACAGCTGCAAATAGACTAAACATGCAAGATGGTCATCTGATCCTTCGTATTGACAATGATTGGCAATGCATTTTCTACACGATTGATCAAAGCGTCATCAAATTTAAGCTTCTAAAACTTCTCTCTTTTTAGTCCCTTGTTTTTCTTTGTTCACACATAAACCCCTGAAAAGCTGTTAAACGGGGGTGTCGGGTCGGGCCGGGTCCGTTTTTTAGCCCGTCCGGGTTTCGGGCTGGGTCGGTTCCGGGTTGGTACAGTAACGGGTTTAGCGGGCTGAGTTAATCCGGGTAAAAATTGAACCATAAGGGTTACGGGTTGAGGGGGCCGGACCGGGCCGGGTTTAGTGTATTTTTAATTTTTTTTTGGAATTTTGTATAACTATTGTAAGTTATATTAATACTTTGTATTAATTAAAAGAATACAAGTAAGATGGGAAAAAATTGCACTTATTGCAAGTGCTACTTTATTTCTTAATTTCAACTTTCAAACTTACAAAATGAAATGTTTACATTTTTTTCAACAAGTAAACTAGTAAAGTAGTAATTTCAAATGTTTTGCATCGCCCTAGCAAGTTCATCATAATCAATATGAACCGATTGACCTTTTTCTGGCGTGTTAAATTCGGATGGGTTTTCATGTGTTAATATATCTCCAAGTTCCTCATCTTCTGGGCTATCAACATCTTCCTTTCCTTGATTTCTCGTTCCGATCTAATCCAATCTCTTAAACATACTAAAACTTCTAGAGCATTGCTTCCCAATGAGTGGCGGGTGTCTCCAAGTTGTTGTCTTGCTTGGCTAAATGCACTCTCCGATGCAACAGTAGAAATTGGCACATTCAGCACGTCCCGAGCCATAGCGAAAAGAACAGGAAATTGCTTTCCATTTTCATGCCACCATCCCAACGGTGAAAATTCCTTTGTGCGAGGCTCCTTTTGCTTCTGCAAGTAGAATTGAAGTTCATCAATATTCCTGCTACTGGTTTGAGTGTTAGAAAATGTAGAAAAAATATTAAAACTATCAAGGCCTTCTTCATCATCCACAGTAGCAGAAGTGCTACATTGCATAGCGGGATTAACATTGCTAGAAGCACAAGCAGCATTATCACATTCATTTGCATAATAATTATATAGTTGTTGTAAATATTCATTTAGCTTGTTCATAGAAACATATAAATATGGGGTTTCAGTTTCTCCAATCTCCATATAAGTATATAAAGCATTCATTAATTGGTGACAATCAGACATTTTAATAGAAGGATTTAAAACTACACCAATTAAGTAAATCGGAGGAATTTGAAAGAAATATTTTTTGAATTTTGCTTGCACTTTTTCAACAACATCCTTATATTTTTCTTTCTTCTTAAATTCAGATAGTAGAAAAGAAATTTCAGCTATATGTACTAAAGCCATAGTAACAGTGGGGTAATATGCTCCAGAAAACTCAACAGTAGCTGTATAAAATTTATGTAAAAATTTAACAACATCATTAATGACCTCCCAAGTATCACTTGTTAACATACGCCTTGGATCAGTACAATGTGCATTAGCAACTTCAGTTATTGGGAATCTATATTTGTAGCAACATTTTAAAAATATATATGTATAATTCCATCTAGTAACAATTTCGTCTGGCATGAATCTAGGTTTAAGGTTATACTGGATACACTTAGTCTTAAATTCTTTTATTCTAGATTGTCTATTATTTCCTTGAATAACACCAACTGCTCTTCTAACATGAGTAATCTCAACTGAAAATAAATCAAGGCCACTTTTAACAATTAAATTATAAACATGACATGCACACCTAACATGAAAAATATCATCAAGAGGTGGTTGCAAATGTATTTTTAAAATTGAAATTGTGGCATTATTGTTAGAACCATTATCAAAAGACATACACAATACTTTTTTGTTTAGATTATAAAATTCAACAATGTCAACAATAGTACTACTTATAAACGCAGCAGTATGACTCTGATCTTCATCATATTTAAAACCGATAATACGTTTTTGCATACAAGTACTATCATCTATCCAATGGCATGTAATTGTCAAATAATCATTTCCATTAACAGCATGGCAAATATCAGAAGCTAGACATACTTTAGAAGGAAGGTGGCTAAACAAATAACGTATGTATATTTGATATTGTCCATGAGGTCTAAAGATATCTGC